ATGTGCCCGCAACCAAGGCATATGCCCCTGACCGGAATCAAGCCTGGCACCCTTCATTCTGCAGGCCATCGCTCTATCCGCTGAGCCAAACCAGTTTTGGCGAAATTTTTATTCTTCCTTTTTAATAAGGAAGACACAAAAACCAATCTATTTTAAAACAACTAAATGGACATATAAATCAACATGGTGCCCTTTATGTGAGGTTGACCTTCCTCTGGTGGTTTCTTATCCTCTTCAAATGGGGGGCGGACAGCATCTGCAAACCCAGTGGTACAGTCAGGGGCTGAGCCTCTGTGGGCATGCGGGGTGCCAGGCCGGATGACAGGGCCTCCCAAGGCAATCAGAGCCTCGATGCATGGCAAAGGAGGCCCAAGGTGAGGCAGGGCACTGCTTTCTCACTTTGGAGCTGATGACACAGGCCAGCAACCAGAGGCTTGGGCACCTGCGACCTGGTGAAGGTCCCTGTTGCTGACAGTTCGGGTCCTACCCCTCTCCCTTCCCTTCTCAGATGATCCTGTGCCTGGGAAGTACCAGGGCAGTTCTGACTGTGCTCTTTAGGCATCTGAACTATTCAAAGCATGTTTATTTGTTTTGTTTTTTCTTCCTCTCTTTTTTAAACAATGGAAAAGCAAGAAATAATCTGAGCTTATTTTATTAACAATTCTTTTTTTTAAAAAATATATTTTATTGATTTTTTACAGAGAGGAGGAGAGAGGGATAGAAAGCTAGAAACGTCGATGAGAGAGAAACATCAACCAGCTGCCTCTTGCACACCCCCTCCTGGGGATGTGCCCACAACCAATGTACATGCCCTTGACCGGAATCGAACCTGGGACCTTTCAGTCCGCAGACCGATGCTCTACCACTGAGCCAAACCGGCTTCGGCTTTATTAACAATTCTATTACCTCCAAGCCAGAATAGGTGAACTAACTGTGAAGACAAAATAGTTTTGCTTTTAATATTTAACCTGGATCTCAATGACGGAAGATCTTACTTTGTATTCCCTTCCTAGAATCCCTCCCCTGACCCCAGACTTGAGCAAAGCCCAGGTTTCTCACCTAAATGTCCTGACAGACACAGGAAAAGTATCTCAGTGTTTTGCATCCACAACAGTGTGACATTCATTGAGCCCAAGCATGAGACAGCCACTTAGCTAAGTTCTAGAGAAACCAAGAAGAAAAATACGCCTTTGGTTCCTGCCCTTGAGGGAGACACTCAGTTTCTGGGGGAGACAATTCATAAATAGGTAAGTTACAATATGGCGTGTGTATATAGGTTAAAACTATACTTTCTCTTAAAGTAACTAGTAATTTAATTAATTTTTCAATACCCTTGTGCAAAATTCTATATTACTAACACAATTCAAAGGACAGCAACTAGACCAAAGGTTTTGAGTTTTCCTTAAATGTCATCTATAAATACAAGAGAATATAGGTATTACATTTCAAAAGTTGCAAACTGAAGTTCAGGCAGATCAATGTACTTAGTTAAAGGAACAGAAAGAAAATCCCCTCAAGGCAGATGAGATGACACTCAGGCAGACACGAGAGAGACACTGACCACTTACATGATACAGAACGAGAGACACCGGAATTAAATAGGTTTTCACATCACTGGCACTAGATATATTTTAAATTTTATTTTTATTTTATTGATTTTGTACAGAGAGGAAGGAAGAGAGATAGAGAGTTAGAAACATCGATGAGAGAGAATCATCGATCAGCTGCCTCTTGCACACCCCCTACTGGGGATATGCCCGCAACCAATGTACATGCCCTTGACCGGAATCGAACCCGGGACCTTTCAGTCTCCAAGCCGATGCTCTATCCATTGAGCCAAACCGGTCCTGGCGATTTTAAAGCACGAGATGTATTTTCCAAGGGGAAGGGGGTGGAGAGGTCAGGAAAGATTTCAGAGGGTCAGAAAAGAATTTGCTAGGCTTGCAGCAAGGAAAAGGCACTCCAGACCAGGAACTGGGTGAGGACCCATGACAGTTGGGCCGTTTGAGAAGCTCAGTGTGGAGGGGAAAAGGTTTATTTAAAAATTATTATTATTTTTATTTTAAAGAGAGAGAGAAAGGGAGAGAGTGATATAAACATCGATGAGCCGAAGCCGGTTTGGCTCAGTGGTAGAGCGTCGGTCTGCGGACTGAAAGGTCCCAGGTTCGATTCTGGTCAAGGGCATGTACGTAGGTTGTGGGCACATCCCCAGTAGGGCGTGTACAAGAGGCAGCTGGTCGGTGTTTCTCATTGATGTTTCTAGCTCCCTATCTCTCTCCCTTCCTCTCTGTAAAAAAATCAATAATATATATATATATATATATATATATATATATATATATATATATATATTTTTTTTTTTTTTTTTTTTTTTTTTTTTTTTAAAGAAAAGAAACATTGATGAGAGAAATATTGATTGGTAGCCTCCTGCACACTCCTACAAACAAAGCATGTGCCCTGACCAGAAATCAAACGAGGGACCTCTTGGTTCCTGGGTTCATGCCCAATTGCTGAACCACACTGGCTGGACAGGAAGGGTTTCTGGGAGCTGCAGGACAAAGCAGGAGAGACACTGAATTGGCTCAGACCCTGGAGGGCCATCTCCTGACAACCGAGGAGTCTGATGTCAGCCCCCTAGTGGGCAGAGGCTCTGAAGCAAAGGCTACCCCCTTTCTTAGGAAAGTAACTTCAGAGGATGACAATGGGGGGTGGGGGGGAGAAGGGCGGAAAGAGAAGGGACACAGGTGAGAAAACCCTGGGACCAAAGCCAGCCCTGGCATGAAAATGCAGAGGAGAGACCAGATGAGAGTCATTTCTGAAGTCAGAACCCTGGGATTGGGTGATGGCCTGAAGGAGGTGAGAGGCAGGAAGGAGTTGAGGGTGCTTCTGATGTGGTTTGGGCCACTGAGTGGGTGATGACACCATTAACTGAAACTGAAAATGAAAATACAGGTGTTAAAGCAGAATTAACAGGGTGGTAGTTGGGGAGAGGGGGTGGTGAGTTAATGAGTTAAGTTTTGAACATATTAAAATTGATGTCCCTACAGGACAAACTAGTCCACACTTTTTAAAGAAATGACTTGGGTTAGAGACATATAGACTCGAAAGTCATCAACACAGGAATGGCGGTGAAAATCCTGGTGAGACATCGCCCAGGGAAGGAAGAGGTGAGAGAACAACCAGGATGCTCTTCCTGGGGCCCCTGATGTTCAGAGGCCCTTAGAGAAGGTACTGGGTGGGAAGCTGGAGGGGTGCTGGGGAGGAGGGGGCGTCCTGGAGGGCAGGCTTACAGAGGCAGCGGTGTCAGCAGAGCCCAGGGCTTCTGGAAGCTCAGCGTGAACTGAGACACGGAAAAAAGCCATTGGGAGGCTGCTGGTGACATCAGAGGAAAGTCTGAGTGCAGGGGTGGGGGCCATGGCTGAATGAGTAGTGGGAGGGAGCGGGGAGATTGGAGATAGTGGGTGCAGACTATTTTAAGAAGCTTGCACATCACATTTCTAACCCTAACAATGGAATGAAGGGGAGGTGGGGCTGAGGGTTTATTTTTAGGTTGGAGGCATTTCCATGTGTTTTAGGCTGAGGGTCAGGTGCCACTGACAGGGCAGTTTAAGAGGACAGGAGAGGTCACTGATGGGGTGGATTCTGTGACCAGGGGCAGGAAGGGAGAGGTGTCTGTTCGCCGTGTGGGTGGGTATCTCAGGTACAATCTAATCCTTAGACCAACAATTTTTCCAGTGAGAAATACTTCATCCCTGGCACTGTTTAGAATTGCTGGTACATGGAGTTAATAAAAAGCAGACCAACTCTGAGTCGGTTTTATTACGGTTTTAAAATTCTCTGCAGACGAGACACCACTCATTACCTGCACCTCTGATGGCATGAACCCCTCCCAAGGCCCCGCCCTTGGAGGGCCCTGGAGACACCTCCTCTGAGAGGAGAGGTACAGATATGTAAGTGGAGTGGGGGCTGGCTGGAGGGAGTTAATGGGGGAACAAAGGGGACATACAAACAATACTTTCAAAAATAAATAATTATTTTAAAAAAAAGACATATAAGTGGGTGTAGAAAAGGGATTCAATCCCGATGGGTATGGGTTAGTGTGTGAGTGAGTGTGTGTATGTGTGTGTGTGTGTGTGTGTGTGTGTGTGTGAGTGTATGTGTGAGTATATGTGTGTGAGTGTGAGTATGTGTGTATGTGTGTGTGTGTGTGTGTGTGAGTGTGAGTATATGTGTGTGGGTGTATGTGTGTATGTGTGAGTGTGAGTGTGAGTGTGTGTGTGAGTGTGTGTGTGTGTGTGTGTGTGTGTGTGTGAGTGTGTGTGTGTGTGTGTGTGTGTGTGTGTGTGAGTGCCCACCTGCCATAAGGTGAAAAGGTAGGGCCAGGAGAGGTGGTGAAGATGAGAAGAACTGCAAGTCATGACTCAGAGACGGGGATCTGGGCTTTCGGGTGTTAAACAGTCTCACCGCCCACAACTTCTCTCTGAAGGCCACAGCTTACAATGCTGTCAGGGGGAGGGAGAGGGCAGGCAATTCCCCACCCCAATTGGTCCACACCCCGCAAGGAGGTTACAGTCCAGCTGGGTTTGCTTCCCAAGGCAAAAGGCACCAGCACACTCCAGTTGCTGTGGCACCAGGAAGCCTTGGCCAGAACCTGGGGAAGTTTCCAGAATTGGTCAGAAAAGACAGAATGCATGTCATCACTTGAGTCATGGTTGCACCCTTGTCAACCTGCACAGGGTGACTGTGAAGTTGAATGAGTCTACAAGAAAAGTTTTGTTACGAGCCAGAGGAGACTGTTTGCATGCTGATTTCTTTGACTGCTTCCCTGAGCAATCAACATCAATAGCATCGCCTTGCCCAACCGAAGGTACAGATACACATGTATGTACACACACACACACACAAACACATACCGTGCCCCTGAAAGGACATGTGACATGTGAACCCATTTACCACTCAAGATTATTCCAAACCAACCAAATTAAAGCACACTTCCGATTTCAGCTCCTCTGTGCACTCCCGCCTGGGGCTGCAGGGGGGCTGCTGAAAGGATATAGGATGATCACTCTCCGGAGCAGCTCCGTGGAGGAAATGATGACTCGGTGCATGGTCAGCACAACTTGCAGCAGTTGGTTACTTCGACACAGGTTTCCATCTGCATCTGCAACAGAGAGAGCAACATCTGAGTGAGGCCCCAGAGAGAAACCAGCCATGACCATCCACCATCACAGGACGGTGTGGCCCAACAGGGGTCTCCAGGCACAGTGCTTTTCTCTCGCTGCCTCTGGCGCCACACTCCCTCCCTGCCTTGCTTTTCTTATCCTCCTGCTGTATTCTCACCTTTGCAAAATGTCCATTTTGATGCCCATTACCTACCCACCGGGAGGTGGTAGAATCTTGGGAAAGGGATAACATTTGCATCAGTGTACCCGAAAGCAGAAGTGGGTCCAGGATTTGTGGGGCCCAAAGTACACATGATGGGGGTCCTTCCCAGGGTCACGGTCCACAAAGCACAGTGTTCATAGATGTCAGTTAAAATGCCTTCCTTTTGGAATTGGCCAAAACATGACCATCTGAATACATGGCGCGGACTCTCCCATGGCCGCGGAGGAGTCCTGAAACAAGCTCCCCTTGTTTTATGGGCAGGAGGCCTCTGCCTGACACTAAAGGAGGAAGACATTGCATTTGGAGATTATGGGTGAGTTACAAGGGTCCATGATGCTTTATATCCAAACACATGGTTAGCTAGGTCGTCCAAAGCCCAGCTGATGTCAAATAATAAGATGCATTCTATATACTGGCATTGGGTATAAAGATTTGACTTGGAGTGGTTTTCAAAATCTTTTCAATAGTGATGGCATGAGGTACTAGGGACTGTGCCAGTCCTTGCTGCCTGACCTGCTCTCTGTCATTCACCATGGACTGCATCACCAGGGCCAGATAGCTTCCAGCTGAGCTCGGCCAGGAGGAAGCATCAGCAAGAGATGGGAAAAGGGAAGACAGGCCATGTCTTTGCCCTCCCTTCTCTGCTCTGCACCACTTCCCTGAAAGGGGCTGCAGGTCTCTCCCATGGACCATCCCGCTGGTTGGCCCCTCATGACCCCGGCTTCCCTTGGGATCTAGCACTGCTCATCTCCTTGGCTCTTGGCCCTGGCCTTGGCCCTCTGGCCCTAAGACTAGCAATGAATTGTGGCTGCTGTCAATCTCTGGGGGCAACATCTGTTAATTCTACTTTATCTAATTCTAGCTTCTTCATCTACGTGTCTTTAATTAAACAAACCATGCGAATTCTATTCTCTGTTGGGAACTTGAATAATTCCGGATAAAGTATCAGATGAAGAATAAATGTGAATTGCTTTATCACTGATAGCTCTTTAAAGTAAATTATACAAAAGTGGTTGTCATTTCATTTGTTCCAAGTGTGCCAAACTATAAGTAAAAGACATAGTGCATTTGAACTCAGGATTCAGAAGTCCTCGCTCATTCTCAAAAGATGACCTGAAGCCACGGTTCATTGAGAACATGGAAGGAAGCCGACAGGGTCACTCTCCTTGCTGTCACCAAATCCACGGAGTTACTCACATTCCATCACTACCTGCTGTTCCCATGGGAGGCCGTGGTTTCCATTGAGTTCTGGGTCTCCTTCCTCAAGGACTCTGATCCTGCCTTCATCTACTTTCTTCTCTCCATCATCAACTTCTCTCTCTCTCTCTCTCTCTCTCTCTCTCTCTCTCTCTCTCTCTCTCTCTCTTTCTCTCTCTCTCTTTCTCTCCCCCCTCCTCTCTTGCCTCTCTCTTTCTCTCTCTTTATTCTCTCTGGCATTTAATAAACATGCATCAGAGTCTCCTATTTAAAACACAATGAAATAAAGCAAAACCTTACACTGGCATCCTCTCTAGCTACCTCTCCATTTCTCTGTTCCCCTTTTCAGCAAAACCTCATTGTCATTAATTTATCCCCAGCCATCCCTTTCTGACTTCTCACTCCATCATTCCACTATGTATTGTATTTTCAAGGTCACCAACCAGCTCCACAAAACCCTGTAGTGTATGCCTCTGTCCTCAGCTTACTTTATGACTCAAGTTGCATTCAAGCCAACCCACGTTGACAACTCTCTCTTTCCTGGAACACTTTCTTCTCTTGGCTCCCATAACATCACACTTTCTCAGCTTCTCTCTCAGGCTCTTCTTCTGCCTCTTCTTCCTCTGCTGAGCTTTTAAATGTCACTGTACTCTGTGGTTTATTCCTCCCACTTCTTTTTTCTAACAATTTTTAAAATTTAAAACTCCTTAAAATTTAAATTAAAAAAAGTTAACTTCTTTTTTTCCTAAGTGAACTCATCTACTCCTTTGGCTAAAATACCACCTATATGCTGATGACTACCCAACTTATATCTTCAGCCTGAGTACCAAATTAGTCTGTCCAACAAACTTGGTAAATCCACTCAGATGTCTGACTTCAAACTTAACTCATCCAAACAAAACTCCCGACCATCCACCTCGACCCCCGCCAAATTCATTCCTCCCCCATTTTTCTTCATCTCAGCAAATAGCACCACCAACCATCCTCTTAAATAAAAAACCTAGGAGTCATCCTTCATGCCTCGCTTTCTCTCATTGCCAACCAATCAGCAAGCTTCTGCTGTTTCCATGGAGGTCTTTCAAATGCTACTTTCAAACTGTATGTCAAACCTGTCCATTTCTCTCCATCCCTGACATTTTATTAGCTGTAGCCATGATTGCAAGGCAATAGCCTAGATGCCCTTCCTGCTTCCAATCTATAGTCAACCCTCTGCACAGAAGTCAGAAACGAGCTCTTAAAACCCATAAATCAGGTCACGTGTTTAATATACTTTGATGAACTCCATTATACTGGTAATAAAACTCAAAATCCTTACAATGGCCAATGGAGTTCCACAGGTTCTGGCCCCTTTTACCATTTCCCACTTCTTTTCCTGTTTCAAACCTTATCACTCCTCTCTACACCCCTACTTACGCAATCATTTATACTACAATTAGAGAGGTAACCTTTCAATTCAGTATCTGACAACATAGTTTTCATGACGCAGCTTTCCTTCCCCAGTTAGTAGTGCTCACTTTCCCATGTAGGATGGTAAAGAGCAGGAAAGACTGTGAAATGTACTTGTAAGGCATTAGCATGTCCAAAGAAGCTTCGGACACAGCCCTAGGCTTCTTTCATGTGGACAGAATCTAAGGCTTGTGACTCAGCTCTCTTCCTTGTGGGTGGCAAGCATCTTTTAACAATGTCATTTCTAATGCTCACAGCGCTGCAATGTTGGTGTTGTTCATGGCGCACAGATGAGGAAATGAAAGCATGGTGACATTGGGTGATTTGTTCTGGGTGAAGGAGACAATGGGCGGAGGAGCTAGGATCTGCTCCAGGTCTGTCGGATTCTGGAACCCTTGCTCCTTCCACTGCGCTCGGCTTCACACGGCACAACCATTTCTTAGAATAGGGCAGTGGTCAGCAAACTCATTAGTCAACAGAGCCAAATATCAACAATACAACGATGGAAATTTCTTTTGAGAGCCACATTTTTTAAATGTAAACCTCTTCTAACGCCACATCTTCAAAAATAGACTCGCCCAGGCCCTAGTATTTTGTGGAAGAGCCACATTCAAGGGGCCAAAGAGACGCATGTGGCTCACAAGCCGCAGTTTGCCTACCACTGGGATAGGGGATTTGAGTGTTAAATGGGAGGCCAAAGTGGATGAGCTAAAAGAACTCTTCCTGTCCTTAGGATACAAGTCTAAGAGATGTCACTGGCGTGTGGGATTGGGACTTTAGTATTTTTTTGAAAATCTCTTATATGCTTTGGTTAATTGATATTGGTCATTAACATTACCTTTAAAGTAAGAAGCATTCGGTGTCTAAGATTCACAATTATTTTACCTCACACTAGCTTTTATACAGTTCCATGAGGCTCCCCGCCGTGGCTTGTTAATCCTCATGTGCTCTCTGTGGAGTGAGGGCAAGGCCAGGAGGAGATGGTCCCTCAGCAGTGGGAGGCATAGACTGGCAGCAGAAGAAGCACCTGGGCACCTGGGTCCTGAGCTCCCCGGCCCGGCTCGTCTTTCTCAGCAGGAGAATGCCTGGCTGTGTCACTTGCCCTCCTCCCACTGCCATCTCCCCCCCACGTGACCTCACCATGGGTGCATTTCCTGCCTGACCTCCTTTCAGAGCAAGCACTTCTTCCTTTTTGAGGGGGAGAGCCTCGTTTTGAAAATCAAGGGGAATCTACCCGCCAGGCTGCTGGATTTCATTGGTATTTTGATGTAATTGGGGTAAGGTGATTTAAATATTTCAATGAATAATTTCATTTTGTTTGCATCTTGAAGCTTTTTTAAAAATGCAAGGTGTCAAACTAAAAGTTCTAATAAGTAAAATGTGCAATGCATAATAAAATATGCAGATTTTTCTCATCCCCATCTGCTTCTCCTTACACTTCAGGGGAAGACTCCTTTAAAGGGGTGAAAACTCAGTAGGTACAAAATGTCAGTCTTACACACTCTATCCTCGTCTTAGAGAATAAAGGATGCTGCCAGAGAGCTATACAGTTTAAAGACCCACCCAACCTGGGGACCATTTGTTCCTCAAGCAACAGGAAAGTCACGTGGCTTCTGGACAGTCATTTATCTCTGAAGCAACAACCCATTTTCCATCATTAGACTCAGTGGCAGCAATAGCGACACTTCGTGGAATCACAGAATCCTGGGGTGGAAAAGACCTTAGTCATCTACCTCGACCTTCCACCCGATGCAACATTTCCTTCTAAAAGTTTCAAAGGCAAGTGGCTATCTAGCTTCTGCTTGTACCCTTCCAATGAGAGGATACTCCTTTTCTATATAGAAACTTCTCATTCTACTTAGATTAAAAATAGTTCTGGACACAATTAGTCAACACTTATTGTTAATCCGCTCTGTGCAAGGCACCGTCCTAGGTCCCGAACTCACCATCACCTAGGTCCCGGAGCTCACAGTCTAGTTGGGGAACGAGACACACACCCAAGACGCCAAACAATACTAGACAGTAAGTAAGAAGAGTGAAGTGGTGGACTGGTGGTCAAGTTCAGAGGAGAGAGATCCGATCCAGTGTAGTGGCTCAGTAAGCATCTCTTTATATACATGTGAGGTGACCCAG